TCCGCGATTAAATGCGATTTTAACAGTGTTCTGGTTGTTTATTGTTATTTTCAATAACAGTGGATTAATCTACGTACTTTCAGCTACAAATTGAGTGCTCAGCTAAAGGAAAGCTGTCCGTATAACGATGTACGAGCTGTCCAAAGTGAACTAACCGGGGTACGCATGATGAGATACAGTGTCAACCGTTGCAAATAAAGTGCGATTTTAACAGTGTTCTGGTCGTTTATTGTCATTGCCACTGACTGGAGATTAATCTACGTTCTTTCAGCTACAAGTTGAGTGCTTGGTCAAGACGAATCAGCCGTTATAGGGTACTAATCTACATTTTTTAAACTTCGAATGTAATGCATGACGAAGAAAAGTGTTGCCTGTTTAGTGGTTATGTAATTGTCACATATTTCGATCGGATTTACACTGCTAAACGAGCGTCAGTTTTCCTCGTCATGGATTACATTGGAAGTTTAAAGAACGCAGATTAGTACTCTCTAGCAGATGGGAACCAGTAATTACAAGAACATTGTTAAAATCACATTTATTTGTAACGGTTCACACCGTATCCCATCATGCATACCATGTTTAATTCACTTTGAACAACTCTTACAACGTTATACTAACAGCTTTCGTCTTGATCAAGCACTCGATTTGTAGCTGAAAGTACGTAGATTAATCCACTGTTATTGAAAATAACAATAAACAACCAGAACACTGTTAAAATCGCATTTAATCGCGGAGTACCACTATTTTTTTCGACCGGTGGCGCCACCCGTGGCGAATCGCTGAAGCTGCTAGCCATATAATTGGCTCTAAAAATAACTGCGACAATTAAGATGACCGTAGAATGCTATTTTATTTTTGTACATGTCCTTAAATATAAAAGTTACCAAGAGAATAATTAAAAAGTTTGTTAAGTCTCAATTTCTCCTAGATATAGTTGTTTGTCACTGGATCCAGAGCAGACTGAAAAAACACATTCAGAATTATTTTTCTCAAGTAATACAGAGAAATTCCTTTAGCTTAGTAGGTATTACCTATTGGTTCCTTTGGATGAAAATCTATGTCATTAACAGACCCATTATGTCCAGGTAGTTTGTACAATATTCTACGACTTGTAGTATCCCAAATATAATGGAATCTGTCTGATGATCCAGCAGATACTTTGCTACCATCTGGTGACCATGCACACCTCAGAAGATTCTATGAAATAATTATTTTAATACAGATACTTGTAAATTATCAATATGTACCATAATAATTAAAATGCAAACCTTTTCAAAGTTATGTTGATGCCCAGAGAGAATTTTGACACAGCGTTCATAAGGAGCAAATGGCCTTACATCCCAAATCCTCAATGTATTATCCATAGCATTAGAAAGAATATATGATCCGTCTGGACTTAAACTTAGTCCAGTGATAGTGTCAGAATGTCCTTTCAGTTTATAAAGAACAGCATTTTTCCTTAGATCCCATACTTTTATATCATTGTCTATTCCACCACTTATTACTTGCTCTGCTGTGTCATTGAATGTAACAGCAATAACCTGAAATAAAAAAAAGGATTTATAAAATGATTCTTTAATTAAAAATTGATGAGCCTTCAGTAGGATATATTGTTAAAAACAACCTGATATGTGTTATTCAAAGTATAACACTGTCCCCTTTTTCTGGGATCCCATACACGTATTGTACTATCATCACTGCCAGAACAAAGTTGAGTGAGACCTCTCCTTGCACCAGAAATAGAATTAACAAACGAAGTGTGACCTTTTAGCTTCTTGATTCTAGTTCCAGCAACTATGTCCCATAAACCTAATGTCATGTCTGTACTAGCGGTATACAAGTGATTGCCATCAGGGCTAAAGTGCAATTCCATAATTGCTCCACTATGTCCACTCATCACAGAAATATTTTCACATTCCCCATAAACGTTCCAGATAACTGTAAATGTATTATTCAAAATTTAGCACAAACTTCCACATTAGCTTAATAAACATTCGAAACTTTTAAGTAACATACATATTTGTCGATCAAATCCTGTTGAAGCAAGATATTGTCCCTCAGGATGAAATTCAAGGGAAAATATATCTCCCTGATGTCCTTCCAGAAGCATAATTGGTGCAAACAATGATGATGTTCTGGGTGGGCCCTATAAAATAAATTTTTAGAAAAATCTTTCAACCACGGTTGTGAATGAAGGTTAATCTCACATTTTGTACGACTGCTTTCTCTCTGCTACTAAAGACCACTTCATTTTTCGTCCTCTTTGAGGCAGGAACTAATGCTAGAATGTCATCCCCTTTACGCTTATCTAAAATTGGCATTTTGAATTATTCAACGCGCGACTTTATTTACGATTGCAAACACAATAGTGACAGAGGGAGAGACAAATACACAGCTTTACCAGGTGGCAGAACGATCGCTGTGATAATCTGGGCTATCTTCTTTTAAAAGTTTTTTTAATGTACATTACAATTACCTTAACTATTACAACATAACGTTGACAACGTTATGAATACTATCTTGTATACATTTTTAAAAAACCAACATTGAACTTGTAAGTTATAATTTATTAAATATGATATACATATGTATGTATATTATTTACTATAAACATTTTGACACATTTCATTATATATTTACAGGTGGCCGCTACTATGGCAGGAAGGGGAGAGTGTTGTGGTTTTTCAAATAAAATAAAATATTTCAACAGAAATAGTAAATTCTTAAAAATGGACATTGGACATTTTGTTCACCTACGCTGACTTCGATCAGTAGTCCTTTACTTTACACTTGCTGAAAAACCACATGTAAAAATGTCTACAGCGGGAAGAAACTTAAATTGTAGCGATATTTGCGATACGTTAGATCCAGAATTCGGTAGACTATATTGATCGTAAAGGGAAGAAAATGTGCCGCATTGAATTCGGATCCTACCATAAATCGACGATTTGCAAATGCGTAAAGTAACACGATTTAATGTTGTACTATACACAAATATACAGGATCTTCATCGTCACCTTTCGTACCTGAACAGAATAATATTTTTTATTTTTTGAGTAATTTACGCTTACTCGAACTACGCCATTGAACACGGTCGAACTTACTACAACAGCATGTTCGTAGGGTTCTCCATGAAGTTCTTGAATGCGGCTAACCATTGAGCACCAACCGCACCGTCCACGGTACGGTGGTCACAGCTGGCAGTGACGGACATGTATTGGGCAGTTGTAAATCTATAACAAACGTTATTAATAAAATCAGTGAAATGTATGTTTCATTAGATTGACTGGATATCTTTAATATTTAGTATCTAGAAGCTTTAATATCTAGAAGCTTAATTCTACCTTGATGGAAATGCTTACCCTTGTTCATTCGTAGCAGGTATTAGTCTGGTTTCAGTGGTGCCAACAGCAAGAATAATGGATTGGGGTGGATTTATAATGGCAGAGAAATTTTTAATACCAAACATTCCCAGATTCGATATAGTGATAGTTCCACCTTGGAATTCTTGTGGCTGCAACTTTCCTTCCCTTGCTTTTGTGGCTAACGCTTTCACGTCTTTACTAATTTGAACTAAACCCTTTGTATCTGCACTGAAGACTATTGGTGTAATCAGACCATTATCAGTACTGACTGCTACACTCACATCAACATTGTTGAATCTAAGAAAATAAATGTCACCAATTATGTGAACACAATATACACATCAGTGAAGGAATAAAAAAACTTACTGCCTAATAAAATCACCCATCCAAGCACTATTACCCTGAGGTACTTTTTTACAAGCCATCGCCATCCCTTTGATAATAATATCATTGACACTGAGTTTTATTTTCTCTTTTTCCAATAATTTGTTAAATTGTTCTCGTGCCGCTAGAGCTGCATCCATTTTTACATCTACCGATAAGTAGTAATGTGGGATAGCCTGTTTACTTTCCAGAAGACGTTTGGCGATTACAGCTCGGATATTCGACACAGGTACATCCATTCCTCCTGGAACACCTATTGCTGCCGGTGCTGCCACTCCAGGTTGCATAGCAGCAGCTGGTGCAGCACCTCCTAGGTCTTTAGATGTTATAGATCCATACAATCCTGTTCCTTTCAGGCCCTTCTCAAAACAAGTGGAATGTTTATAGTAGAATTCAACTCTACATGTTCCTTAGTGGGGTAATTACTATGGAAAATTACCTGTAGACTAAGGCCTTTTTCAGAAGCAAGTCTTTTGGCCAATGGACTAGCATATATTCTATCTCCAGAGGGTGTAGGCAGTTTGGCAGCTGCTGGTGCTGGTGGTGTTACAGGGGATGGAGGAGGAGTAGATGGTGCAGGAGTTGGTGCTGATGGTGCAGTAGCAGGTGGTGGTGGTGAAGCAGAAGCAGAGTCATCTTTGAAGTCTTTGAAGGCAGCCACACTACCTTCATCCGAAACAATTATACAAACAAGTTTGCCAATTGGAACATTTTTTGTTCCTGCTGGCACAAGTATCTTTGCCAGGTATCCTTCTTCTGGTGTCTCAAAACCCATTGTTGCCTTGTCAGTTTCAATTTCTGCTAGCAAATCACCTTCATTCAACTTATCACCTAGAATGAGATGCAAATCATTACCAATTTCATTAAATTTAACTTATTATTTGACTTACCTTCCTTTTTTTGCCAACTAATAATAGTGCCTGTTTCCATGGTAGGAGACAAGGCAGGCAGCTGCACCTTGATATGATCTGGGTAATCGGCATAAAACCTGAACTGCTGCTTCCATGGTGTTACCATAAAGCGCAAGGTATTGTGAACCTGACTCCTGAAGACCAAGCAAGAAAGCACTGTTTTACTCTAAAAAATGTCAGGGATCAAAAGATGACATTGAAGATAATTTTCGTGTCACCTTTAATGTAAACATCAACCTACATTTCTGATAGTTTGTGTTGTAGTAGTTGCCTATATAAAGTGCAATCTTAGGCTGATAAATAAACATTTGAGTACTTTAGGTAATCGGGAAGAAAGTTCTATAAGAGAGATAACTGTCTGAACTATAATGCACCATGTGGTACAAATAGATCATGTATTCTACATTCTATAACATATGTTAATTGCAGGCAATTTAAGATTCTCTCATGTATTTGTGTCAGCATAGTATGAGTCAAATGTATTAAGAGTACATCCTATACAAACAATCAAAGAATTGGCCTTAAAGGACCACCTAATTTTGGCGTTAAGTTTAAACATTATAGTACTAGAATTATTTTCAACGGAAGAAAGCAGTTCCATGAAGCATAACTCAATGAATGTATATTTAAATCACTTTGTGGTATCCAGTAGAAAAGTGGGCAACAGTGTTCAAAGGATAGTGTATATATGAACCAACTCCTAAATACAGTGAAAAGATGGGAAACGGATGTAGATATAGGAAGTAACCTCAGAGGCGAATAGCAATCATAGTTTCGAGTTGTAGAAAGGTAGAGTATCTTAAGAACGACTGAATGTAATTGATATCAGTAGAACAAATACCTTTGTAGATGTTTTCTGTGAAGACATCGTATGACCATGGTCCTTACGATGTTCGTCCGCACGGAACTTCGTAGTACAACGCGTGCCAATTCATTGCGTAGACTGCTCGTGGTTCGTATCATAATCTCGGATACTTCGATAATCCTTTACTACTTCTAGTAGCAAGTCGACTGAGGTTCGACGCGATGAGAAAAAAGTTCGGTTAACCACCTCGTACAACGACGTCTACGAGTGTGTCAATGGTGTATTAAGGGTTATCGTGCAATACGACCAGGAACGAACGATACGAGCACCGAATTAGAGGTCGTCTGCAAGGTCACGTGGCTTCAAGTTTAAAGGTGATTTTTCAAAAGGGGGGATTCATCGTTAGCGGGGATTAGACAGTGAACAAAAGAATGATAGGTAAAAATAATTTATATAACAAAGGGATCAATATCTTTTCTGAACAAAATTCAGGCAAGAATTTGTGTTAAGGCTATATGGCTTCTAATCAACAGTACCATTGATAAAATGGAATGGGATACTGCTATTTGTTGGTGGAAGACTGGTCTGATCTATACGCGTGATCTAGCGCTATTAGTACAGCGGCGATCCTAGGAACTTGAAACTTTTACCGACGTCCCCTTTTTTCAAATGTTGCAACTTACGTACATACATATGTAGTTTTCATTTCAATGATTTATCGCGAGTTTTATGTTTTACAATTATTCAAATGAGTTTGAGAATAATAGTATTTAAGTTTAAATATTTCTGAAATGAAAAAGGGAGACGCAAGGAAATCGTTGAAAACAGGTGGTTCAAATATAAAGGATAAAGCAACAATAAAATTTGGCACGAGTAAATTTTCGTTTGAGAACGGAGATGTCTACGAGGGAGAATACAAAATTCATTATGGAGAACTTGTTATAGTCAAGGAAGGTTAATATTTTATAAAATGTCTTTTTACAAATATTATGATCTATGTATATAGGTAAAGGAATATATGCTGTATAGGTAAAGGAATATACACTACTAGTAATTTTGATGTGTACGACGGAGAATGGAAAGACGATGCATTTGCTGATAGTAAAATACATATTCGGTAGATATTAATTAGTCATGCATTACGGTCATAACTAAATGAATTGATTAAATTTGATGACCGAAGGTATAACAATGATGCTCAGTTTCGAGGTAATGTGGATTCCAATGGAATAATGAATGGCCCAGGAATATATATATTCCCGGATGGATCCTCTATTGAATCAAACTGGCTAAATGATAAACCGTTTACAAATATTATTTACAGGGAGCCTCGCGGGTATAAATGGATACTTGAAAACATGTCAGAAGAAGTAATATAATTAAAAGAAGTACTTAAATTAATCGGCTACGGTAAAAAATTAAGATTTTAATTTTAATTACAGATGATTTTGTTTTCACATGGAAACCATTTTTGGAACGATATGTTGTCTAATATGAACACCACTCGTTCTACTGAAAATCTATAAAATCCATAACTTCGTGTAATATCACAAATTCGCTATATCCCTCTTCTATATAACGTTTAATCTTCTTTAAACATCGATGGAACTCTGAATCGTGTTACAGCAGGTTTATACAAAGGATTTTCATGCAAACTGTACACAGTTTTTTTTCTTTCTTGTTCAAACTTTTCGTACTCCCTTCTGTCTTGTACCGTGGTCCAAACCCTACAGATACATTTTTGTAGTCAATATATGCTTGCGATAAATTGTAGTTTGAACAAACCTTAATGCACACTCACTTCCAAATTAATAAACATACTATTCCGAAGAACAGTGTTACGAAGGCGATTATAGATGGCACGAGTGCCACGTTTACACGAGTACTGCATATCTAAACGTTAAAATACTTGTTGTATGTACAGTGTATTCAATTAATTTGATTAGGTCGTGCAGTAAGCAGCTTGATTTTTTTTAAATACATCCATTTCTCTTAAAATAAAGACAGTATAAACAATTAGTACATAAATGCTTTGGGTTTCACCTTTTCTCCTATTTTCAAAAGGACAGCGTTGTTTTTCTGGAACTCATATATATATGGTATGATGCATGTTTGCTTCTCTTTAACAGTCTTCACGAAACAATAATGTTCGTTTGCTGTACAAAATTCGAATAACATGTAATTCAAAATGTCACTTAATTTATATTAATAAATTATTTATTTATTTCCTATTACCTATATCGACGGAGTTCACTTTTTTAGTGCTGTAATCAGTAACATTTGTTCGACAAAATTGATCAATTCTCTGCGGTTCTTCGATAGTGGCGTTAACGCAAGAGTTGTACAGGACGCAAAGGCCACTTCCGCCTGCGCTAACCGACGACTCGCAGTAAGTACCTCGGTAATAAGAACCGTCTGCGGCAGTAACGTTACATCTGTACACATAACGCATGAACATAATTTTTTATAACGTGAAATTATTTTATAAACTATAAACGATAAATACGAACCGACATTCTCCACAATCACAGTAGCCGTGACCAGCGCAGACATTTTCAGTTCCGGGTGCAAAACAAAAGTCATCCGTCGAAGGACACTGACAGGCATTTCCCTTCCAGCCTTCTAAACAATGACAGACACCGCACTTGCACGTTCCTCTACCCATACATTCTAATCCATCGATCTATTAACAATAAAATTAATTTAAGTCTTTATTAAATTAATATCTTTACAAACTATCATTAATTTCCGCAAATGCACTCGCCCTTGTCGGAACAGACATTCGTAGAATTGGGACCGAAACATTGTAATTTGTTCTCTATTGGTGAACTTTCATCGCAATCACAGTGTTCTCCTACGAGGTTACAATTTATACACATTGCAAAGCATTCGTTTCAATTCTGCGAATAAAAAAGTTTGTTCCGCTATTCATATTCTTACCAGACCATCCGAAATCGCATTTGCAGAAGCCGCATTCGTCAATGCCATGTATGCAATGCGAGCTTTCCGAGTCTTTGCAGTTACAACCGCACAAAAGTTCAACTTCGATTACAACTTTGGAAGCCTCGGATGCTAATGCATCGTCGATTACAATAGTTTGTCTCTGCAAGATTTCATATTATAAAACGAAACGATAAATATGTATAGAAATGTGCCCCCAAAATGGTGGCCACCATTCAGGGATCAAGTATATACGGTGGCCGTTACTAAGGGGTTCTCAGTATGTACATACATAACATACACTGTGGCCACCGTTAAAAAATCAATCATGTACATATAATTGCCAGTACCAAGGGGCTAATTAAGTTTTACACATATGTATATGTAATTCTGCTTACCCACAGACTTTCATTCCGTGGACACTCGTCAAAAGAGAGCTCAACGTTAAAGTCGTAAACCCTACCCTCTTGTATTCCATCGCATTCCGACGTACTAAATTCTGAGGTGTTTTTTCGTTGACAATTAGAGAAGTATCGTACACGAAGCGGATTCGTCGAATTGTCCCGTAGTACAACTCTCGTGATCAGGTCGTGATAAACGCTCTCGACGATCTCCAGAATGTTTGAACTATTGCTGGTTAGCGTGGCGACTCTAGCGTTCTCTTGTAACAAACTTGCTATTAATTTGTAGTCGTCACGTCGATCCTCCGTCACAGCGAATATTAAATTGATTTTGTTGTCCCGTAATAGTCTCGATACTTCTCCCAGGGAAGGGTAGTCGTACGTTTTCGACATAAAATATAGTCCGTTCTTATCCAAATGACACTTGAAGTCTTGGCGAGTTATCGCACCAGCCAGCTAATGATCGTTCAAACATATGGAATTTTACTTCTTCTCATTTCTGTTCTACAGGTGTGACCTATTTATTTACCGTTAATTAATCATTTTGCGATACCTTTCCCTCTCCTGCGAAATGCAGAAACCCATCCGTAGCCACCAATATTATCTTTCGCGCCTGATGAGCCCAGTCGACTTCGTTCACGCAAAGGATACTCTGAACCACTCCGTCCATTCCCCCTTCCAAATTGTCAACGTTTCCAGTAACGGAGCTCTGGTTTACCTAACATTCAATACCATTTCAATCTTTTCCGTTTTATTTTTGTTTTTTTTTTTTGGTTTAAAGTTTAAAGTAATCAACGTATACTTCTTTAATATATAACGGTGAACACTCGGCGAGCGCGCTTTTACAAGGATTTTCCTCGTGTCCGGGAAAAACGAAAGGCATAAGAGGCTTGTCCGCGTAGGTACCAAAGCCCAGTCGGAATTTATTTGTGAATCTTTCTAGCGTGTTCGTCATGTTCCATCCCAGGCTGACAAGCGTGTCTTTGTCGTCCTTCATCGACCACGTTAAATCCATCAAGTAATACAGATCCAGGGGATAATTCCTAAAAGATTCGTAAAAATTTGCAAACGTATCTTTCCGTTTTTGACGTTGCACAGTGAAACGTACTTGGCTGGCCTATAACGGAGCTGAATCACTGTCTTCGAATTCGGTCTGATTTTTGCTTTCACTTTCTGCGGCCGTAGTTGTACGGGTATCTCGTCGGCTACTTCCACATCCTTAAAGTTGAAATCCTCCACGAGCGTCACTGATCCCGGATGAGCCGTACGGATTTCCTCTGGTGGACAACCGAAATCCTTTAGTCTCTCCGGCACGTTGCATCTGGGCTTTCCGTGGCTGGAATTCGTGTAGGACTACGCAGATTCGTATAAAAATTTACCGTTCGAATTAGTCGGACGTTCCACAGGCGATAACATGTGTGTTTCAAGAGTCTTCTAGATTTTACCCAGTCGCTGCACCACGCGCACGACAAGCTGGCTTCTAAACAATTCTCGCAGGAGTTCTGCGATATACAGAGCCTCAAGGTCTTCGTTTCTACGGTTTCAGAATGGCACCACTCGTGACACAGAGCGATTACAAGTACCAACACTTCGAGAGACCTCATTATTATTAATTATGACAAAAATTCCGATCATTCCAAATATATTCTCTACAATTCTCACTTTGGTTCACCACGATCACCAATGTTCACGTCGAGCACCATGATTCTACGAGAGAAAAATTGCGACTCGATGGCGATAAGGTTCTTCTATGTATTTTCACGATTACCGGAACGGAATCTAAAACGTGTAACTCGCGCAATCGGCAAGAATAGTGCGGCAACGTGTCTGTTATCTTTGCTATGATAACACGATAAACGGTGTTCCCCTTGGGATGGGAAAAAAAGAAACAGATATTGTAGATCCGGTATCACCTCGCAATATTTACAAACCTCCGCCCGGTTTTATTTTCCACGCGAATCTATATGTATCACCGGTTTTATCGAACTATGTCGCGACAGAATTTGAAACGGTCGAGGATTCTAATTGAACCGCGACATTCATCGCTTGACTGACTCGAGGTAACACGATGATCGACAGGGTATTACCATTTTATTGCAGAGCTACGCGATGCCAGCTGTCCACTGACAATGTGTACTATTTAATACACGCGCGGCAGATAGATAGACAATATCGATGTCTCTAGGTGCATACACGGTGGCCTCGAGGTCTTATAGAGGAAACATAGATAATTAATGAAGATAGATCAATGGTCACAATTAACGTTTAATCGTATAAAGATTACAATGTATGTAAATCTCCGAAAATTGATTTTTTAACTGGAATTCATAAAATAAGGACGATCCATCCGTTCATTCTATCACTATCATGGCTTTGAAAAATCTATTCATCATACCCTTTATATAGATTTAATATACACAGTACGCACGGAAAGTGTGTCCACCCACTCGAGTGTATCTCAATTATGCGATGACGAGCCGCTGCCTATCGCTCGCATATCATTATCCCTATAGAAAAGACTGAAAAGAGTTTTCTTCTGTGATAGATAACAAAGGTGCGATAATTATCTTGACACCGTTTGGGTTCTCTGTTGTTGGTTCAGCAAATAAGGTTTCAACTGTTTTCTTAGAAATTGAACGTGTACAAATAAAATAGTGTTGGTGTCCATAATGCGTTTGTAACGATGATTACCTCGCATATGTGCATGATAGTGCTTGTTCAATGACGAAGTAGTGTGAGGCTTCATTACGCTGCATTTCGTTGACACAGTAACCAAATGGGATAAAAACTCGCAACTGTGTACATAATCGCAAAATAGTCTTTTCAGATTGCATGTATACACCCTACTGTATTTTTCATTCTTTTCCGAGGAGAAATCTGGCCAATTCAGGGGGACCATTGGGTAAAACTTTCACAAATTTTATTTCTCGTTTCGACAGATCAGTCGTCTCGCGACGATCGAACAATTTTACATCCTCACGATAAATTACATACGTTGACCGTATCTCTGCAAACCGCCGATTCAAAAATTACAAATAGAGAGGTCTTAAATCTATCCTTACAAGCTAGAACAACGAACGTTCAATGTATCACACATCGACGTCGATTAATGGTAAAAATGGTACCCGTGTCGTTTGAACCAGTACTTTACGAAACTTACCCGAAGGTGATTTGCGAAACTCTCTCTCTCTCCCCCGCCCTCCCTCCAGCCCCTCCCTCAATTAGAAATTAAATAACGTCGAAACTGAGCGAATTCTGTTCAATATCGAACAAAAACATTTTCGAACGAATGCGTTCGAAACTTTCACTCTCCCAGATCGCGTCATAGTTTCTCAGCGTGATCGGAAAGGAAACAGTTGTGCCCAAAATCGATCCTTCTCGTTGCAAAATACTATCCAATAAATGTTCATCGAATAGTCGCGACGAAGGTATTGCAAAAAAAAAAGATAGAATCTACGTTCCACGCTGGAGCGAAGCTCGTCCTCGACAAGTTTTTTCGCAACAATCAGCTCGGAGAAGAAGCGAAATAAAACTCTAACGTGTACGTGCGTGACGAGTATTGAAATATACTTTAGAATTACATGACCGTTATCAACGTATCGTGAATCGACAATGTTTCGGGCTTCTTTTTCGACAGTTGAGAAATAGTAAATCCGATTTCCAAACCCCTTCGGACATAGGGATTACGAAAAAAAATATGTTATGGCTTCCTCTCGGAACTGGAGACGCGTCTGGTTAATTGTTGATGAATGTTCGCGCCATTCTGGGGTTTAGTTATCACATCGGAAATGGTTTCCTTGGGTGTCACGGTCGGTTTCTTGGGCGTGTTGTAAACGTTCAACGTGCTAGAGACCACACCTCGGATAAACATCCCCGCGCAGGCCCACGGGAAGGCCCTGAAAAATTACGGAAGTAATGAAAATTCAACTCTCGAAGGTACGTGTATAAAAAGCATCAGTCTTTACAAGAATTTTCTAACAGAATAATCGAGAATCTCGTTTCCATATAATTGTGTTGGGTAATGCGTACCATTTCAAAATGAGCAAAAGATAAAGGTAACCAGGCACCACAGCAATCTTCTCGTTGCACCTCATCGCGGACACTACTCGATCAGCCACTTCGTTTGGGCTAAGCCGTGGAACGTATCTAGAAAAATACCGAACGATAAATATGCGTTTGTGAAAATTAAAGAAAAAATTTTATTATGCGTGACAGAAGCCAGTTACATGCACGAATCTATACCTGGGAGATATGTCCTCGAACATGCCGGTGCTGCGAATGAAAAACGGGCATACAACCGTGGTGTTGATGTTATAGCCATCAGCCTACAAAAAAAAAAAAACAAAAAGAGCAATAAGCAATATAAAAACAGTGCCGTTGGGAAATACCGGAAGTTCCATCAGAAGCGAACGATTCGAAAAGTGATCTTTACCGCTAGCTCCATGTGGAGTGCCTCCTCGAAACCGACGGCAGCGAATTTCGAGGTGCAATAATCCACTAATGTCGGCACTCCCACGTGACCAGCAAGACTGGCTATGCTCACGATGTGGCCCTTGTTATCCTCCATCATGGAGGGCAGGAAAGCCTTTGTCGTCTGTGAAAAGAAAATAGTACTCGTGGTTAGTACCCGTGCGATAAAGGGTTAATTTGGAAAACGACAAGAGGAGACGTGTAAATATTACGGAACACCAGCATCTACGGGCGGAGTTCATGCAACAAGCTGCTTCGCGAGCGGAAAGGGGGCATTGGAAAGTAGATAGCAAGATCCAACCGAAATGACCGTGACATCGGATGCAGTAACAGGCCCACAGTTAACGTTCCCATTACACGATGATTAACCCAGATTTTGGCCAGCTTCTTCTAGTTCTCGCTTTTGAAAGTAAAATCGGCAACGCGCGTAATCCGCCCGTAAACGACCGCTCCGGGAAATCTTTAACTAGGCGAAGTGACACCTGGTTTGTACACGATTGCATTCTCTGTTAATTAATCATTGTTGTTGATCTTGGTGATTGTTTTTTCCCCCAGAATGCTCCGAATTGGTACAGTAAACTCGGTTGACGAAACAGAGTGGCGACGATCGCGTCGAAGATGCAAATGCAGGGTCGCAACAGAAGACCTCGAAAGGTCTCGCGAACTGATCCGTCGGTTTTTCCGGTCGGAACAGCGCAAGACCGGCAGACCTTGTCCCTCTTAGGAATATTTCTTTTTTTTCTTCATTATAACTATAGGACGTATATCTCAATTACCATTAAACCGATGCCGCCGCCGCCTCCGCCGCGTGATGTAACTCTGCCACACGAAATCGGTATTCTCGGTCGAGCCTCGCGGTATAATTTTCCTTCTTCGTGCTCTGAATCCGCACGACGTTCGTTCGACTAGCGCTTATATTGCCATCGATGATGCTTCGCAGCATCGTTCGCGCGAACTTTCACTCTGTAGCCCCTCGTTAAAATTTATTCGTCTGGTTACCATTCTTTCGTTTTCTCCTGTTTTTGCTTTTCGTAATATCATCGAGGTGAAAGAAGATAACGGTTACAAGGACCGTTTGAACCGCGTTAAAGCAACACAGATCCGACCCTTCGAGCGACGCCATTTTCATTCGTTTCGACAATTTTACCGTTAAAATATCAGCCGGTACCCGCAACAACTCGACACGATTACTGGATCCGCGGATTTCGTACGTTCGTCGATTGCGACCGAAATCTGGACAGCGGATTATTAACGGTGGCAATTAACGAAAATGACGGTGGGGGAGACCGTTAAGAAACTGGCAAGGTGGTTTTCCGTGGCGTTCTAGTGTATTGCGCGAAAGCACGAGCCAGGCTAAAGTGGGCATACGTATCGACCGATGTACGGTTTGGCAAGCGTGGTGGCCTCTCGTGTATGTCGCAACTGCAAGACACGACTGTACTGCAACTACACGGCCCAGTGGCTGCATATCTATCCGACCGGTTTTCCCGCCTGACCCACGACAGCAGTCCTAAACAAATATAAACAGAATTGTCCATCCGGACCAATAACCGATAATTAGCCCCGTGTCTAAAATCGTACATCGCGGAAATCCTAAGTGTGTCTAATCCTCCTGTGTATCACTTCCAAGCTTTGTGTCTCGACAGCGGGAGAAATGAATATTTAACTCGAAGAAAATTCAGTAACGCCTGAAGGACATTGGATCTTTCATAAATTAACGTCTCATGATGTGTTCACAGGTGTCATGGACGCTATAATAAATTTTGTTCGCGCGTGTACAAGGCGGCAGTCCTTCGAGCGTAACTGCCTTGTTCAGTCGCCTTGATGCTGTCGGCGTATATGTATACCCGTGAGGTCCTTGTACCGGTTCAATGATATTTTATCGGAACACGAACGCTGCTGTTCCATCCCATGCCTACATGATTCGTACCCCGGTTGTTTACAGATTGTACACACGGTCTTAAGATATTCACGGCGGAATTCAAGTTTACTTGAAGTTTAAATCTGACGCGACCTCGAGAACTCGGTGTTTGCACCGAGTTACGGTCAATATTTTCTTGAATACTGCATTGTGCCCTACACGTAAAACATACATACAAACTTTGTAGGCATCTGGTGAAGTCGCACGGATCAAGAAAATCAACAGTGGAAAATGTTTGAACGCGTGACATGCGGCAACTCGGTGCTCTTAGCCACGCGTTGAAATCACCGCAGCGCGCCACATACACGCTGTTCCCGTTCTTACGCGTAAACCGACAGATCTTTTGGCAGTATAATTTCCAACGAAGAACCACGCACGGTTGAATGAAGTTTTAAATGTTTTACAACAGTATTTTTTATAGTTGGAAATATTGTTATTACGACTAATCTACCGAAATGGAAACGACTTTACTTTTCTTGAGTGCTCGATTGTACATTGTGAAATGAAAATCGGCAAAAACGAAAAGGTTAAACGAGAAAAAAAGCGTACGCAGACATACCCAAAAGTGGCTCATCACATTCACTTCCATCGTGCGGATGATTAGCTTGTCCGGCGTGTCCAAAAATTTCATTCCGCTAACCACACCGGCGTTGTTTATCAATATTGTCACCTGCAATGTTCGAGTAAGTACGATTATCGAGTAGCAACAATTATTTTATACGGGATACTTTCGTGAGAAACTTGAAACGGTATTGTAAAAATGTTGATTGCGTAAGATCTACAAACGGTCTACGAAAGTATCTTTGGAGCCATTCAAATTTCAGAAAGTGGTCGTCAAACTAATTTAGTTAAATTATCTTTCGGTGTAGCCATAGGTATCCTGACGATTATACAATTCTTACCTTCCCAATTTCCTCCTTGACCACCGCGGCTTTCTTGTATACATCCTCTCGATCGCATAGATCACAAACGTAGCCGTAACAGGTTCCACCCGCGGCTTGGACAAGTTTCACGGTTTCTTCCGTGCCTGAAACCAAAAGCGGGGGTGTCAGATCAATAGGAATGGGATTCGATGAACCTCCAAGGTGGCTGAATCTTCGTTTTTTAAAAATATTTGTACGATCCTTGACATCAGACTTACTACCCGATCGCAAGATCTAATCCTTACGACACGCATATTTTTAACAAGTAACGCGAAGAACGACGATTTCGTTAAAGATTTTACAATTTTGAATTGCCGTCGAGCCATTTCAATGTTTTCATTTCACGACCTCGTCTCGTAATCTGGCGTATGTATTATGGAAATTAAATGACCCCGTTGTGCTGCATCTCCTGATTCCCTCTGATGTATGAAATTAATCGAAATCTCGCCAGAATCACTTTAATTTTCACATTTTCAATGACGATGATAAAACCAAATAAAGGTAAACGTTGGAAAAAAGGACGATAATCGTGACGTGACACGTTCGTTACGTTTACCTTAGAGTGGAATCTGAATGCTGACCTAACAGTTATCTAAAAAAAGGCCTGTGGCTCCGGCGAGAATGGAAAGAACGTTAATACCGACCGAGGAAACAGGATATTCTGCGTTTTGCAATTACATCTTTCATATTCTACGTGAGCGCACGTACTACTTGGCCAAGAAGCGAAACAGCCGACACTGGTCGAGCTTCGACTTTCTACGTAAAAGTGTTGGCGACCGCGAAAAGTTGCATGTCGGATCGCTCATCCTCGGTCGTTTGACGGCCGGGATCGAATTGTCCGATGAAATGTCACGAACGAATGCCGGCAAAATTGCTCGACCTCTCTTTCCGTTTCTCTGAAGACTCTATCATCTTGGTAGCTTAACGTATGGCGTCCACGAAACTGGCAGCCCCACTCACACGGCAACCAAACTAGAGTTTCGCCTATCTACTTGCAACAGAAAGATGAGGGCAGCTCCTAATAATCGTGAATACTTTCAAGAGCGCTCATTTTGAGTATCTATTGGCGTACAATTGTTCAGTTAATACCTTTGAACCAGGTCTGCCACTTACTGATTTTTTCTACTGTTTATCTTTTCATCTTCCTTCATCTTCATTATTCTATTTGTAACATATTTGTCGATTTCTCCTTGTTTTTGTTATTTCACTTCATTTTTTCAAAATCTGCGGAACCATCGAAGAAACCTCGATAGAATTGTGGAAAGTAAAATATTCTAACTGAAATATTCTATCGATCGATTATACCAAATGAAAATACACTACACACGACGGATCGACGAATTTTGCTCGATCGAGGAACGACGGATCGACCGTTGTAAGGTTCGCGCGTGGAGTGAGCGCATACTCGCGAACCACCGAGACCAAAAAGACGACGCGTGAATGGTTCTCGTGAAATTTCCTTTTTTTTTTTTTACCTACGATCAACCAGTTTACCAGACCGATCGAGTAGATATACTTTCGCGGCCTTGAATGTTCGCGCCACTTCGCGGCGTGCCTCGTGTCTAGACACGAAGTTCAAGTGAAATTTTTCGTTCGCTTGGTTTTCTTCAGCCTGTAAACTATCCTATCCAGCGACACAATAGTTTCGTGTATCTATTTCACGTCACATTGAAATTTTAATCGTTCCCATCCTGGATCCATCGTTTCTTCGGGTTTCTTTAATCTCCAATTTTGAGGTATAAAGAAACTCTACTGTCACGATGACAGCCAACGGTCCGTTTAATTTTGCCAACGTCCAGTTCGATAATACATCTACGTTTCGTGAATGTCGTGTCCAGTTTGTAGAATCGACCGATCGTTTTTAGTTCACGTTCGTCATCGCGTCTCGAGTCCCAGTTACGAGAGGTGATCCAAAGGAAGCAAAAAAAAAAACACCCAAGATCGCCTCCAGGATCTTTTACTATTCTGTTTCGTTTTCGGCGACACGTGTCCCGGTTGCAAACAATAATATATACTAATCCAGTTGTCGGTAGTGCAGCCGCCCCCGATCAATATTCCGTTGGCGGAGCACACGGATTTGCGATCGCCAACGTTTAAAATTCGTTACGCGACCGAGCTTCCTCTGCCCGTGAACCCGAAACGTCTTCCCCCCCTCGTGGACGGGCAATTAATCTCCGGCGATTCCTATCATTTTCATTCCCTCTGTCCGTGTTGCTTAACGCCACGGGATCACCTTGCAAACGTAATGTTCTCAAGAGCGCGGGAAATAACGCGTCCCTCCCCCCTAATTATGACAGATTCGCGATCAACATGTCCCCCGTCGTCCTCCGTGTCCGACTTTTCGATACGTTGACGTTAGTTCTGCATCACGCATATTTCGGGAAATTGATCACGGATGGCTATTGTCACACTTTATAACAGCTATATCGGTCACGCCGTGATCGGCTATATTTCTTGCATTTAACCACGTTGCGAATGATTTTTTTTTTTATCATTTCTCCAAAGAGACGCTTCAGTTTTTGGAAGCGATTACTGTACACTAAGAACTACATATTTTTCTGTGATTTGTGTTGATTGTTCGTTAATAACATTGGGAGCATCGTTTCCACGCTCGTCGAGCATCGACGATAAGCATCCGAAGAATGGCTACGAAACTTTCCATTGAAATGCAGTTCGAGGTGGACTGCCACAAAGGTGAATCGTCAAAGGTATACCTCTTTTCTCGAAATTGAAGGTCATGAACGGGGCCGTTCGACGAGAGGTTGTCCGGGGGACTTCGAGATGCCGCCCACGAGCGATCGAATCCTCTCGAGAAATCAGTATGCGATATACGAGTTTACATTAAATACAGGAACTATTAGCACATCCCTACTTTGGACGTATACTTGTCCTACGTCCCAGATTTCCGAGAAGTTTAAACAGCTATAGAAGAACCGTTACATGTGAATATAATTTATAATACTGTTACACACTTACTAGACTTCCATTGATTCGACGACGATCAAATCTCTTATCTACCGATTGTTCGCCGACGAAGCAAAACTCGCATAGGCAAGACCGTTGCATAGAACACCAAAAACTCTCTTAATTCGATAACTATATATTAATCCCGTTTTATGACGAAACTCCGATCGACCAGCCTAAAACCACGAGTTCTAACTCGTGGTCGTGTTCGTCTTGTCGCGTCGATTGTGAAACGCTGATACCGCACGATTCAGTAGAATCAAGTGTGCGATATAAAATATGTTCTAATTTCGCGGAGTGATGGGTAGTCCGGTTCCGTGACCGGTGACGCTTGACACGAAAAAGACGAACGATTCTTTCGTTTCTTTTTTTTTCGTTCAATATCAAACGGTACACAAACGGGTAGAAATGAAGGAAGATTCGCTCTTCGAGGAAGATAATTTATCGTGTCTCCGTGTACGTCTATGTGGTCGAACTCACGGTCCCCCTGGAACGCTCATGAGTTTTTTTTAAAGTTTCGTATGATGCACTACGGCGATGGAAAAGTTCTTCGGGTTGTTCGAGATATTTTTGTCGAGAAAACGCTGAGTTAAGTCACGCACGGAACACACACGCGGATCGCCGCCGTCTTGGATGATTCTGCGAACGGAAAATTCGAGGAGACCCCCCAATTTTCTGGCGGACGATAACACCGGGACTACCCACGACGCCATGACCGGAATACGAAGGCCAGAACGGACTCGATGTCGAGCCGAGTAATTATACGTGCATGATTATCCGAACGTGAAACATCGCGCAGAGGACTGCACGAGGATGAACTATCCGAATTTCCAAGGCGAATCGAGGCGTGCTTGGACTCCGGAACGCGATCGGACGAACCCACCGGCCTCCGAAAATTACTAGTCAGACTCAGCCTCGGAACTTTTGGTTCCCGCGACCGATCCTTTTCTTTTTTCTTTTGGAATGCAAAATGAAAACTTGTTCTTTTCTATTTACCGGCACAGTAACGACGCGAGGAGATGACAGTGCTTTTTCTTCTTCTTCTTCTTCTTCTTCTTCTTCTTCTTCTTCTTCTTCTTCTTTATCTAAAGGCCACAATACCGGTCTACGATTTCACGTTGAAGAACATGAACTAAATAATCGATCTGTGCATCAAATGTTTCCTGTTTGCATCGCGTCGTTCGTTTCGAATTACATAATTAATAGAGGAACCGCGGAGAAGCGCCGCAGGCATTAACCATAGTCTGCCTTAGTCACTGCGTTATAAGACGAGTAATTTATGGTATACGTGTTATGCATTGCGAAAATTAGCTTGTTCGATTCTTTTGTTCCCGTGTTCTACGTAGTCGTGTCCGATCGGCTGTGTTCCAAAGAAGTCATCGAAGTGTTCCCACGTCAATTACACATTATCGCGGCGATACAAAGTTATTAGAATGAAAGAATCGTGGTAGGCACGGAAATGGCTCACCTTCTTTATTAACGTCCCAGATGACGACGATGGCGCCCAGATTGGCGAGCCTGAGTGCGATCAGTCGTCCCAGACCGCCTCCGCCACCGGTCACAAGTGCGATCTCGCCGATGATGCTCTTCATCTTGTACTTCGCGGGGATGAACATTTTCACGATGCTCTCGGCGATCGAGACCACCGTGAGGATCAGAAAACCGATCAGATCCCCCATGGATCGTAGGAAGGACATGGTATCCAGGTTTTCGACTGTGGGCTTCCCGCTGGAACGTTCGATTGGGTTTCGATTCGGTGGTTTCTACGGCGATCTGTTTCGGCGCGTCGATCAATCACGATTGCATAGCTCGTCGCGGGAGACACGGTGTACCGAGCGAGAGACACCGAGAGACTTCCGGTTGCGGAGCGAAGAGGTTTAGTTCCCGCGGACCGGGCGAAAGCGGAGGCTCTGTAACGTCACAGTTTTCGGCGTTCGTAGACTCGTGGTCGTCTGGAAAGCAAGGGATTAACTTTAATTGGCTATTATCCTAGGATACAACACCGAGGAACCGTAGAAGCGTAGAGACGGTCGAACGCGGAATGGTGTCGGCGAAACGTGCAAAATAATTACAGGATTACGTGGTATGTACCTACTCGACGGAATCCTAAATTCGAGACGACTGTATCCGTGCGAATACGACCACGTTCTTTTATACGTCTTTATCGTAATCTCGGCTGAACTGATATTGAAATTAGGTGATCGTTATCTATCGGTTATCGATCGATCGAACGCTTCGATTGTAAACAATTCGCGGATAAAGAGGGATAAATAATTTCATAACAGGTAATCAAGAGTAGATCGCGGATGAAGCGAAAGAATGAGCACGTTTGTAAATTATAGGATTGCTAATCTTGTTAGTCATTTCTGTATGTGTGTGTGCATGTGGCCTATGTATGTGTGAGACGGTATAGAAACTAGTATACGCTTTCTCCGAATTTCGTATCACTTTCTTCTCTCGGTAAGAAAAAGACGACTCGACACGAGACAATCGAGCGAGGATCTAAGATATTCCCGAAAAAGGAATAGGGAGAAAAAAAGGTACCTCTTGCTGCTTTCGGTCGTTCACACAAACAGAGTTGTCGAAACAATTAACAACGAACGGGTTTTCGGTTTGACGAAGAAAAAAAGAACACACAAATTTAAAAGGATAGAGAAACATAAAAAAGGAATCCCATCAACATATATGTATACATGTATGTATATAAATATTGTAACACCGCAATTTTTCCGGTCGGTCGACGTTACGCGTCTCGAACGAACCACGAATATTTCATCGGCCGGCAATTCGCTTTCTAATAGGACGCGAAATTCACTTTCAATTTTCAGCCGAGAATTCCGCGCGGAACCGTGCAATTTCCCGTTTTGCATTCGGCCCAGCACTGGGGCCGTCGGGCATTGTTTAACAGGCCGCGAGCCCGCGAAAATTGCGTCGAAGATTGTTTGAAGGCAATCAAAGTAAGTGGTAAACCGTTGTTTCTCGTTCCATCGGATTAGAATCGAATCAACGCGTATAAATATCGTTTGTGGCGGTCACGTCGTATGGTTAATTGCACGGAAACCGGTAGCCTCACACGATTAACAATGATTATAACAAAACCGTGTAAGGAATTATAGACGAATACGTCTAACACGTCTAATACATACATACCTACACATGATTGTAAGGAGAACCGGAGTAAAGGATGAATAAAACGAGACAGCGATAACACGGTCCCTTACTCAACGTGGAATAATTTTCCTGGCTGTGAACTGGCAAAAAGGTATTATGCGTAAAAGAAGAAAGACAGAAGCAATTACTTGTTTTTCCCATTTCCTCCGTCCATCGAAACGAAGATTGCGATACCTATTATCCTTTGACTCGAGCCGAGAGATAAAAAAAACGTAATACACATACTGCACAGTCGTCGATAAATAAACGCTCCCGAGAAACAACTTCAACAAACATCTTTTCTTTCGCCCCGCGATCCACCTTTCGCTGTCTGTTGTTTTCCTTACTAAAAGCATCTCGAACGCGCGCGCATATGTATATGCGATAACAAACGCGACAGAGAATCATCGATAAATTACCGTTGACTATGGGAACGCTCGGGGCTAAATTCACGACGATCTGTATTAATAATGAGCCGTTCGTCTTCCAAAGTGAACAACTTTATAGTTCGATAAGTAAAAATTTATTTGAAATATAACAAGTTAAACGCCAACCAAGTGCACGTGACACTGAAAACTTGTAAAAAATATCACACAACTGAAGTTACTCGATTTGACCTCTGAACCTGCTAGATTACGAACGGTTGCGATACATACACGCTACCGGCAAAAAGTGTCGGGCCATGTCTGATAACCATAGAAAGAGAAAAATATTATTCAAAAGTTACGTAAAAGTTATGTGCGTACGATAAAAAGTTACGTGCTAAAATTAATTGGAAATGGGATTTTTTATATGTACCTACTGATATTCCGTAACTTTTATTATATCGCAACTGAACGATGAGTTATCGTTTCATCGATCATGAACTCTGCTCCTCCATACTTTTAACCGGTAGTGTAATGTTCATACCTCCCTGTGGCTGATAAAAGGCCCGAGAAAATGCGGTTCTCTGTTTGCGGAGGAGAACGGACCGCGAATTCTTCCGCAGACATAAGAATTCACCTTCAGAATCGCCGGGGACACGACACCTTGCGAGACGCCACGGGAGCGATCGATCGACTTTCACTGTGTCCTGAACCGGCGACGACGTGAAGTCGATTTAACCACGACTGACTCGACCGCGTCCTTGGCAAATCGAACTTCAACGATCACCGGAGTAACATTATATCGATCGTGGATCGTAGTTGCGAATAACCGGCGGTAACGATCACTTATTCATGCGTGGGTTCTGGTTTCCCTGGACAGGTTCGATTCACGTCGTAACAACAGAACTATTATCTTACCGCAAAAATTGTGGGTAGGTATACGCACGGTTGTCGACGTACCGAGGAATACGACGTTAGGTGACAATTCACTTCAAAAATAGACTGTTTGCAAAGCTGCACGCGCAAGTTTTTCGTGATACCTTAGAATCGTTAATTCTGTGTTAACAGAACGAGGTTCGTTAACAAACTTATCGATATTCCATCGATGATCCTACAATGTACCCGGCAGACGATCGTTAAATGGCGTTTTAATGTTTCCTCGGACGAACGACATCATCGTTGGATCGAGGCTTCGATTCTTCTTGTTTCCCCTCCCCCTCCCCCACCCGCAGGGTTTTTCTGCCCGAGCTTGGAAATTATTAACTCGGCCGGATACGCAAACATGTTTTCCGGGAGATCACGTAAGAAAAAAAAGGAACACGGCGAAACGAGTTTTCGGTTTGTTACCGCGTGCTCGAACGGTAAATAACAATCAGCGTCGACTTCGCCATAACACTTTCACGACGAGGGATCGATCGGACGGAAGCTTGACGTGAAATCGGAGGACCACTTTCAGATGCTCGCCTCGCCGTGCGGACAGACCAAGGCCCGCGGTATTAATACGTGAACTCAATTTGCGAGCGTTGCGGGTCTTCCTCCGTGGTACGCGCGCACGGCCGACGAGATCTTCCGGTGGACAGAGTTTTGTCAGCCGGACGATAAAAAGCCCGCGGCAGATTCGCGAAGAATAACCGTGCAACAGAGAAACATCGACCGTACGAAACTATGGAATTTTTAATCGCGAATCGTTTGTAGATCTTTCTTTGTCTCCTCGCGAAAAACCTTGGGAAGAACGTTTCGTCGACGTTTCGTGACGAAACAAGTAGGTACCATTTTACTTGCGTAACGAACGCGTGAGTTTGCCGTTCAGGTAAATCGAAAACGACAAAAATGCCGTCGAATTAAAAATCGAGAAACGCACGGAATACACAACCTTCTCCGTTGGGAGGAAAACATTCGAGAACGTTTGCACACGATAAACAGGAACCGAGACACCAGGCGGGTATATATGTATACCGCAGAGAAAAAGTTACCATTTCATGGAACACGCGCGTAAACAGGAAAGAAACAATTCTACGTTACACAATGCGGCGGCCGAAAATTCGAAACATAAAAAATTCACCAACTCCGAATGATAATAATACCTATGAGAGATAATGAACAGGTGCGAAAGAAAAGTACCATTTTCACCTGGTTCCGAAAGGCGTTCTTACTTTAGCATCATTTTTGTGTTTCAGGCCAGAAGGAACAGGAAACAAATTGCATAAGGTTGGATATGTGTATATTAAGCCGGTTAAGAGAAACAAAAAAAGGGTTAAAAAAGAACGGAGAAAGGGTCTTACCGGGTGATGTTAAAAATCCCTTGGAGCGGTACACAGAGAGCAAGGTCACTCACGAGATCTCGATCCGAAAAATTCCGTGAGCACGGTGAAAGAATCGTGTGTACACCAAACCCGGAGCGTACCTATCGCGAAAGTCGTCCTACGCGGCGGAACGGAGTTACTCGCCTCGCCGGTACTACGGTCGTCGGTATACTGAATGAAACGGCCGCTCCGGTACGCCTTTACCCTCTCACGACACGACGATCTCCGGACAGCGGACCGGGCGCATCAACCGAGAAATACGGCCGGACAGTATTAATACGTGTCTCTGTCCCATGGTAATCGCAAGTGTGCATCGATCAGCCAGCCGTCCTACCGCCGCCGCCACCGTTGGTTCTCCTTCGGATTTTCAACCTTCTATGCGTCGTTCTCCACCATTTTCGGTAGAAAAAGGAATTTTCCTGTCCGCACGTAGACGACGACGCCTGATCCCGATTTCCCATCCACCTTGGGTCGAGCTGAGGTTTGGAGTTTGGTAATTGAGAAACAGAAAATAGGGAGAGAGAGAGAGAGAGAGAGAGAGAGAGAGAGAGAGAGAGAGAAAAGAAAAAGAAGAAACGGTGACTTACATTCTCTAACCTTTAGGTCACTTTTTCTTTTTTTATAACACTGTGACCCCTTGCTCTATTCCTCTGTTCTCGCTGTAACGTTCTATAATTTTAATATAACGATTATTAATATTCGTCTGACATGGACTTGGGGATTCTCACTTCAGTAGTATAGGTACAATTATGGTCGTCCGGGTGTCTATCTGATTCTCCTTTGATGGTCTGATTCTTCCTGACTTATATTTCTTGTTTTTCCTAGAATGTCTGAACGATCATCGTCGATTCATTTTACATCAGGTATAACAAGCTCTTC